AAGGATCAAACTTTCAGCACGTAGGGCTATGACGTCATGGGGGGGGACGAAATGCATTGTGCCCTCTCAACTTCTACTTTTATGAACACCCGCAAGTTCAGACACACGTATCATGCTTGTCGCATCTGCCCGCGGTACTTATTTCCTCCCTGCTCGTTACTCTCTTCAATAGATCAGGTACTCAATCCCTTCTAAATTGTTATCTAGTTAGGCGTTAAACGCATGCACTATCATCATCATCGTCATCATAAATAACATTTGTGCAGCTCATATCCTCGTTTAACCGTAAGTTTTGTGTGCTTTACAATCTTTGTTGTTACCCTCCCCCCCTCAGAAGGCCCCAGAATACTCAGAACTATGCTCGGCTTCCCGGGCAGCATACAGTGCAGGCTGTGAATTAAGTGCTCAAACAATAACAAATTGACAAGACCTTTTTCTGTCTATAGACGGGTACCTACTCCCACATTGGTGAAGAGAGAAAACTCGTGTAAAGTGCCTTTCCCAAGGACATGCTGTCGAGACCCTGACGGTTTTCGAACCCACGACCTTACACTTACAGTTGCGAGACGGAAATTCTGACCACTAAACCACCGGCGCCACACATTTTTGACCGCACGATATATGACCAATTCGTTTTGGAAATACTGTAAAACTCTCACTGTCACTTTTTTTAAAAGTCACTGTGTAAAACCGACGTCTGTGGAGAAGCGATTAGATGCTTCGCTGTCGCACACAGGAAACCCGAGTTCTATTCCCGAATCTTTATTAAGTATCTCGGTCTTTCTGCTGGAATGTTGTATCTGGTTGTCTCTCTCTCTCTCTCTCTCTCTCTTCCCGGTTTGGCTCTGACAACCATGTCGGAAGCCCGCCACCTGATTGATCTAAATTGTGTCGATAGGGGTTTAAAACACCTACACTTAAAATATTTTTTATTGTTTAGGTGAGCCATGCCAAACAACTGGCCAAGACTTCATTGACCAGGTGTACCCCGGAGCTGAGAACAGACTGGACAGGAACTGGGGACTTGTCTGCAGCTACTTCGTGGCCATTCTCATCCTAGCCGTCATGTTGTTCAAGGCGAGAGGAATACCCATCCTGCACTAGTTGTCACACACGAACAAGATATTCATGGGTTCTGGGAGCGGGCTATTGGCGTGGAGAGAAAGATTGTCGCGTGAAAGAGAACGCTTGAAATATATCGTCAGCCATCGGTTCAGACGCACTTAGCCCGTAATTATGATATTTTCAAGAGCAGCTTCTTACTCTTTGATATTGGTTACATGTGTTCAAGAACTGTTTGATCGAATTTCATATTTTAAATGTTGAAAAAACTCAAGAGGAGATACATAATGTAAGGACAATTGCTAAAAGAACGAAACAGCTTTTTTCTTCTTCTAAAGTTTTTTTTTATTTCTAAGCTTAGTACAGTGCATTTGAACAGCTCGTCGACTGCATGTATCCATGTTTGTCTTTCGAGAGCCTAAGGGGGTTAGTTACCAACTGGCAGGGACTTCAATGTTATCTTGTGGAAAAGAGCGATTTAAAGGATGCTTAGGTGTGTGTCCTTTGATTGACGGAAAGTTAGTAATTGGCAGACAGTGAGGTATTGCCATGTTGAAGAGAACGCTTACAAAGATGTTTCCCAGAACGATCTTCGGGGTGCTAAGATGGTTGTCGGAAATTGGTGGGCACTCAATATCGTTTGAAAGGGGGTGCTTAATTGAACTGCATGCCTCGCAGTATGGCTTTTGAAAGGCTAATGTGTAAGCTTGCAATATTACCGTTAAAAAGTATGTTTTGCAGGGTGTATTATACATTTTCCTAGGCGCCAACACGGTTAGTAGCTGGCTTGTACTGAACGAACAAGGTAGTTGTTGCAAATACATTTCAGACCTGTTCGTTTAGACGAGACAAATGTGAGGCAGCGTGGTGGAATCAGGCTCTCGTCAAAATAATCAAAGTGAAGAAACTTGCATTTTTCCACAGGTTTGTGAATTTTTATCAAATTTTTGGTTTTTGGCTCAACACCTTACATGCTTAATAAATAACTCATTTCTGTGTGTATTATTCTGAAAAACGTTGACTAAAGGCACAAAAAACGTAAATTTTCAGTTACCACAGACTCTTAAGC